GACGGAGACTGACGATAACTGCACAGTGTAGACAGTATTGACACGGAGACTGACGATAACTGCACAATGCAGACAGTATAGACGCAGAGACTGGCGATAACTGCACAATGTAGACATTACAAACGCGGAGACTGGTGTTAACTGCACTATGTAGACATTACAAACGCGGAGACTGGCGATAGATGCACGATATGGACTGTATAGACAAACTGAGGAAATGTTAACATCGTACAATCAGTCCAGAGATAGAAGACACAACACATGTATGAACTGGTTGCATTGATGTTGGATGTTGGATGTTGGATGGTACACGTGTTTACCTTTAAACATTCTTGACAGCCTGAAATATGGAAATAGTAGTAATAGGGAAAAGCCGCCACAGTAGAAGTAGATGTAGGATTGGCAGCAGCGGCAGTACTTGTAGTATACGTAATTGTAGCGATAGTAGTAGTATTGGTAGTAGTAGTGGTGGTGGACGTTAAGGTTAGTTAACAGGGCGTTGCAGAACTAATCCCAACAGCCTCTGGCTGTTGCGTGGTTTTTCTAGAAAAATTTACGTTCAGTAGTTTGCCATTGCCCTGGACGGTCAGCTTTCTTGATACCACTGTCGAAACCAACGCAAGGCGCATGGCGCGCAACTGGGATCGAACCCGGCATCCAGGCATTACGAAGCGTTCGCCACAGAGCCGACGGTGGTGGTGGTACTTGTAGAAATACTAGTGGTGGCAACAGAAGAGCCAGTGTTATAATTATTATGATTATTGTTAGCAGCAGATGTAGCTGGTACGGCAGAAGAAGAAAAAGAAGAAGAAGGAGGAGGAGGAGGAGCAGCAGCAGCAGCAGCAGAAGAAGAAGAAGAATAATAATAATAAGAAGAAGAACAAGAACGAGAACAAGAAGAAGAATGGAGGAGGTATAGGAGGAGGAATCAGCTCTTAACAGTAACTTATATGACTCTGACAACCAGCCAGTGTACCTAAGAGGGGGACAAACAGAAGAAGAAAACGCAGGAGGAGGAGAAGGAAAGGCAGGAACGAATAAATCAATAAATGGCTCTTCCATTAAATGACTAGTTGCGAAGGAGCGTTGTTTAAAAGCCTCACTGCCTTGCACTGTGCGAGCGAGGCAAAGATACAAACAAGCGAGATAAGTTACCAGGCAACTAATTACAAGCGACGAAGAAGAAAAGGAGATAGCGTCTTAACGGCTTCAGCGCTTGAACACAACATAGCACCGTGACATTCAGTTGTGACAAGGGCAATCACTCACGCCTGCTTGAGGGCAGCAAGGAATAGCGTGCAAGAGCTATTTAGCGAAAACAGATGGGCTAGATAAAAGGGCACTGTATACTGCACACCGTGTCAGTTTTGGCATGCCACGAGGGGTGAGCCCAGTGCAAGCGTCTCTGGCTCCTGACGTGCCGACAGCAGGCTGATATTTACAGCCCGGGCTGAGAAACATGGCAGAAACAACACACAGAGGACACACAAACACTGGAAGCTCTACCTCAGTCAAGCTGATTCCCATGTTGGAAGAGTTTTCCGTCTTCAGTGTGTCACATTTCCAGTAGTGGTGCAGTACAGAGTTGGTAGCAGGTGGTAATTGGCCCAGTTTCATTCTCAGCTGAGTGATTTTTATAAAGCTTGTTTATAGGGCTTTTGCCAGGGGCCGCAATATAGTCTGGCCATAAATATGAACGCGGTTTCTGTGACCTCTCCACGGTGATTCTCACCCACATGGTGGCACATCGTGTCATCGGGTGTTTATCGCTTGTGTGATGTCCTGGTGGGGTAGAATGTCAGTCAGTCAGAAAGAATCGAATGGCGGTTTATCACAGAGTGCTTGATCTCTCTTTGCAGAGGGCCTATTAAGTGACGAGACACAAACCGCGAACTCTATAGCTCCAGCAACGATCCCCACAGATCTCACAAGCACCTGTACCAAATCAGTGGATTATGAACATCGAATCCACTGAGGAAAAGAAAAGATATAAAACTGAATTAAAAAGTATAATAGTAAGCTTCACAATATAACAAAACAAACAAAACGTGAACGTTGCGGCTATGGAGTCTTCATCAGTACATACACAAATCAAACAATACCACACACAAACACACACACACACACACACATAATTACTTAGCTGGTATCTCAAAAAGAAGAAGCAGACGGAAAAGAAAAACACAGTTGGTGAAGGTGACTTCATTTTTTTTAAACAGTACAATCGCTTCCGCCACCCCCTCCTCCCCCCCTCCCCCACCACACTTTTTTTATTTTCTAATTGAAATGTAGGTTAATTACAGCTACCTAGAGAACCGAACCTTAAAGTTTAACAAAACAGTCGGTTCACTTCCATTCGACCACTAATGCAAACACTAACACGAGTTCCCAGATCCGTACAAACAACAAGGCCACTGACACACGTCTCACCTCTCCGTGAACAGGAGATCCCAAATCCAAGATGTTTATAATCCTTGCCTTTGAACGAACACCCCTGGGGTTGGCAAACTGAAGTGTGTGAGGGATCAACGAGGAGCCGTGTGAGGATTAGCCGTGCTTCAACCTGGGCTCACAAGGTAGACAACATTCTAGTCTATATTCTGTGTACCGGTTTGTCTGTTTATTTCATGTTTCATTTGCAACACTGGGTGGTGCGACCGGGTTACCCTTGTGTAAATAGCCAACATTTGCTTGTTATTTGGTTTGGCTCAGTTTGGCATGTATTCTGAAGCGGGCTTTGGTAAAATCTGGTAAATCCTCAGGCGTCAAACTGTGTGTTATTTAGTGCAACTAAATACGGCTATCCACTTTTTGTATCTATCTATCTATCTATCTATCTATCTATCTATCTATCTATCTATCTATCTATCTATCTATCTATCTATCTATCTATCTATCTATCTATCTATCTATCTATCTATCTATCTATCTATCTATCTATCTATCTATCTATCTATCTATCTATCTATCTATCTATCTATCTATCTATCTATCTATCTATCTATCTATCTATCTATCTATCTATCTATCTATCTATCTATCTATCTATCTATCTATCTATCTATCTATCTATCTATCTATCTATCTATCTATCTATCTATCTATCTGTCTGTCTGTCTGTCTGTCTGTCTGTCTGTCTGTCTGTCTGTCTGTCTGTCTGTCTGTCTGTCTGTCTGTCTGTCTGTCTGTCTGTCTGTCTGTCTGTCTGTCTGTCTGTCTGTCTGTCTGTCTGTCTGTCTGTCTGTCTGTCTGTCTGTCTGTCTGTCTGTCTGTCTGTCTGTCTGTCTGTCTGTCTGTCTGTCTGTCTGTCTGTCTGTTTGTTTGTCTGCCTGCCTGCCTGCCTGTCTATCTATCTGTTTGTCTGCCTGCCTGCCTGTCTGTGTGTCTGTCTGTCTGTCTGTCTATATAGTCTGTCTGTCTGTCTATATAGTCTGTGGTCCTGTCTATCTATTTATCTGTCTGTCTGCCTTTCGGCCTGTCTGGCTGCTTGCCTATCTGGCTACATGCCACTTGTCTGTCTGCATACTTACACATTTACTTGCGTACATGTTTCCATCTATCAGTGTGTAACTAACTGTGTAGGCTAATTTGTTCGTTTGTCGGTATCTCGATCTGATTGTCTGTATGCAGAATCATATTCTCCACGTAGACTGAATGTCTGTCAACATGACTGTTTTATCTGTAGCTATCGCTGCCTCAGTTACTGTCGCTCCAGTCTACAGTGTATCACGTCAGTACAACTAAGATTCTCGAACAATGATAATATATTGTCCGGTTGGACTAATCTCCCGATATCATCTTCTTCTTCTCCTTTGCGTTCACCAGCTGTACACTCTGGCGGAAAGTTCTGGTCGTTCGTCCACACCTGAACTGCAGTCCTGCTCCAGAACCTGAGTGTTGCGTGTGCATCAGTTTTACAGATCTGATTTACTTGAATGCAGACTGTTGGTTCCTTGCCTCTCAGGCAGATGCACTCCGACTTCAAAGGAAGCTACCAATTAGTTGACTCTTACGACATGCTTTCTGGTAGGCAGTGGGTCTATTCTTGTTTTCCCCACAATGGGGCCCCGGATCCCACACGGGTACCGATATCATCTAAAATATACAGAATTTTCCAGGTCGAAACCTCGGCGATTTCATTAGCGATAAAATATAACAACCTGGACCTGATCCAAACGGTCAAGAGAAAATACAACAGCATCAAACAAATCAACGCAGACTGGGGTTGCCCTCCAGTTATCGTCAAGTAGCAGCCATGTGATGGCCTCAGACATCAGCGAGCTGAGAGAGTATATGTGGCTGGATCCGAACCCAGACGTCTGAGGTGTGGTCGCGCTGACAACGACTGGATTGTATAGACAGAGCTCCAGCCGGCAGTGGAAGAATCTATCTTAACCTCTCAGACTAACGACATCTTCATCCCCTGATCTACAGCAAGTTAGTACACTACAGAAGCACCAGAGATGGACACTGAACCTCACCACAGACATAGTTTTGCAGTTTAGCAAATGGTTCTAGTAACGTTTTCGGCCCAGAAAGAAAGTGACTTCTCTACCCATTCATGCCTCGTCGTGTTGCAGGGTCTGCCCTATGTTACGGGGTGTCACGCTTAGTGACCTGCCTCCAACGCGTAGTATTTTACTCGTCACAGGCCGGCGATATCGCGTGTTGTGTATTCCACGATATGAATGCTTTTAACGGTCCCAAAACATGTACAACTGGCCCTAACCCCAAACCCGTACTCCACACTCTGACAATAACAAATAAAATACTACGTGTTGCTAGCCGGTGACTAAAAGTGCCCCCACTTCCCCCTGCAACATAGGACATGCTCTGCGACACGACGAGGCATTCGTGGAAAGGGAAGACACTCTCTTTCTGGGCCGGACAACTTTAGTAGCGCCTAGCAAACCCTCCTCCCCCACCCCCTTTTTCCCTCTTGCGGCTGCTGGTTCTAAAATTATTTTTAAAAGATTAGCAACGCATCAAAGGTAAACCAATCACACGAAAGAGCTGACTGTGAAGATGTGAGGGTATGAAAGAAATGACTGTGAAGATGTGAGGGTATGAAAGAGATGACTGTGAAGATGTGAGGGTATGAAAGAGATGACTGTGAAGATGTGAGGGTATGAAAGAGATGACTGTGAAGATGTGAGGGTATGAAAGAGCTGACTGTGAAGATGTGAGGGTATGAAAGAGCTGACTGTGAAGATGTGAGGGTATGAAAGAGATGACTGTAAAGATGTGAGGGTATGAAAGAGATGACTGTGAAGATGTGAGGGTATGAAAGAGCTGACTGTGAAGATGTGAGGGTATGAAAGAGATGACTGTGAAGATGTGAGGGTATGAAAGAGATGACTGTGAAGATGTGAGGGTATGAAAGAGATGACTGTGAAGATGTGAGGGTATGAAAGCTGACTGTGAAGATGTGAGGGTATGAAAGAGATGACTGTGAAGATGTGAGGGTATGAAAGAGATGACTGTGAAGATGTGAGGGTATGAAAGCTGACTGTGAAGATGTGAGGGTATGAAAGCTGACTGTGAAGATGTGATGGTATGAAAGAGCTGACTGTGAAGATGTGAGGGTATCTGCTTTAATCAGACATAAAGTCCAGAGAAGAATACCTCGGTTTACAGTTCTGTAGATATTTAAATTCTAGTAAAATACAGGGGTACCAGAGACAGACACTCAAGCCCAACAAATACACATAGCTTTACAGTTTAGCAAACTCCTTTTTTCCTCTCCTTGCTGCTACTGTTGCTACGCATACTTAACATCATTTTACACAAATTAACGACATAATCAAACGTGAACCTTACGAAATAAGTCACTGACTGTAAAGCTGCGCTAGTCAGAGAGACAAGGGCAGAATCAGAAGACGTTGGAGGAGGACTTTTACGTTTGCTATAAAAAGAGCGGTTGGAACATATGGTAGTGCTTTACTTCTTCCTCCTCTTCACCGGTTGTGCACGTTAAGGAGCGATGGATCTATTCTGACCCATTCAGACGAGGGCCTTGGAACATGTACAGGGAACTTAAGGTTTAAACCTGATGCCATAGATATTGGCACATAGGGGCTAAGGCACAACGCCCACCCCCCACTCCCCCCCCTCCCACAACCCGCCCGGCCCAGACATATAGCCTCTATGTCGGCAACGGCAATACTTGTGTATGTTGACTTGTCCTGATTAGTGATTAGTAATTAGAAAGGATTATCCTCACAGCACTCCGGACAGATCCATAGGTGCTCTGATTTCGTCCTCAATAGCTCGACAAGTGTGAAACAACCATTTTAAACTCTCCTTTTCCATTATGGCGGTATGCTGTTGTGTTTATGCTTATGAGCAATGATTTCGCTTGTTATCCGGCGCATTTCGCTTGTTATCCGGCGTATTTCGCTTGTTATCCGGCGCATTTCGCTTGTTATCCGGCGCATTTCGCTTGTTATCCGGCGTATTTCGCTTAGAGTGAAATATCGACTCAAAGGCAGCGCAGATATGTTTTACAGTGCAAGATATTTGTTCAAGGCCTGTGTTGTGGTTATTCGCTACTTGTTTAATGTGCTTTCGATGTGAATGCTGCCGATCGATGTCATGGTGGCCTTAGCAACAACGCTGACGACACACTGATGTGAAAATGTCGGTACATGATTTTAGCTCACGCGACGGAGTACGTGCGTTAGAGCTGAGATCTTCTTCACTGGCTCCACAAATATATAATTGTGATGTTGACTTGTCCTATTTCAGTGGATGTTTTGACACATTTTACATGGTCCTACATTACCACCAGTATTCATGTGTCCACTCTACTATAGCTGTGTTGAACAAATCAAGCATCGTATGTCATTGATATACCCAAAGTCTGGCCAATCAACTCACGCCTTACAACAACGAGATCAATGACAGTGGTCAGCCAGATTGACGGACCAATATTTTACTGCTGAAATAATATCACTGAGACGATAAAACCACACGAGGTTGCTTCCGCCCTCTCCAGCTTTACGTCCTCCATTACGACCCCCTAGGGTCCTTGACGAGACTAGTCGAGGCCCACAACTGCCACATAGACATGTTTTACGTTCTGGTTGAGCAGGCTGATCGCCTGGCAGGAGACAGCAGCATTTCATTCTTGGCGGGTTTGTCTTCCGTCAGAAGAGTGCTCTTAAGAAGACACTTTAATCTACAGGGACTCGGTTCACCACCATAAACATTATATTAGGGACACATTTATGAGCCCTGTCGCTACACACAGTCGAGTTGGCCTGTTTTCATCTGAGTTCTTGGGTTTTTAGGGGTTATTCAGGAGAGCTCGGGGACAAAGGATGAAATACGCCTATCTCTCGAACACTTCTGAAAACCAGTCTTTCTTGGAGTCTTTGAATATGAATAAATAAATGGAACAATTAGGAATTGACATCATTGCACTTGGGACATTTCCACACGTGCTCCGTCTTCTTCTTCGGTAGTCAAGGAAGACTCGACATGCTGATAGTACCAGTTGTAACCTGATCAAAAGTCCGCCTATGTTTTGCCGCCAGTGTTGAATATCTTTCAGAACTACTCAGCCACTGTGGAAATATCTTTCTTCTTCTTCTTCGCGTTCACCAGCTGTAAACTCTGGCGGAAGGTTCTGGTTGCTCGTCCACTACTGAACTGCAGTCCTGCTCCAGAACCTGAGTGTTGTGTGTGCATCAGTTTTACAGATCTCATTATCTTGAATACAGACTGTTGGTTCCTTGCCTCTCCGGCAGATGCACTCCAACTTCAAAGGAAGGTCCCCAATTAGTCGACTCTTACGACATGCTTTTGGGGAGGCAGTGGGTCTATTCTTGTTTTCCCCACAATGGGGCCCCGGAACCCACACGGGGGGGGGGGGGGAATATCTTTGAATGTCTTTGTTGTTTATGTGTTCTGCCCTGCCCCTTTGATCTCAGAGAGCTATTATCACTGTTTATCAAAAAGTAGTTCACCGCCCAGACGAGCAGCGACATCCAATCAATCAGCCTGCTCGTTAACCAGCAGACGCGAATGTTCTGAACAGAGAATCCATGATGTTTTCCTGATCGTTTTGCCAAGTGCTACAAGCCACTTTACACATAGGACGCCAGTTAAATACTAACGAGCTAACACAATAATGAAATCAAAAGCAGCACCCCCGCGGATCAAGAAGATTATGAGCAGCAGCGTCTTATCCACGCAGGCAGGCCTCGTGCAGAGTGGCATGCTTCGCTGTGGAGGACACGGGTGAGGAGTACTGTCTGGATTTTTTTCTCCGGGATACGCCGGTGTGTTGGGAAATGAACAGGCGGACAGACTGGCTGGCATGATAAGGCAGACGTAGTTAGTGCCTTGTGGGAGAACGTGTACATTTCCGAGAAGCAGATAGATTACTACAGTCTGGTGAGATTGATGCAATTGGGAGTGACGAGAGGTTCTGGCAGATGCTTGAGGCTCAGAGGAAATGCAAGTCGGACGTTAAATCAGAATACTGCTGGCACTATGTGTATTGGAACTCTTCGCTGGCAGCTGAAGATGGGGACGGGAATGATCCGAGTGCCATGATATCGGTTCTTAAATCAAATCAAATCAAATCAAATCTACTCAGGATTACAGGGTATAGCACTTGATGTTGCAATACCTGTATACTGGAGGCTGAGCGGGGTATCTGAGACCTGTCCTCTTGGATTGTCAGCGAGGAGGTGGCTTGAAATTGTAGGGATGGTCCGATCACCAGGCAGCAACCGCGAGGAAGTGGTGTCGGATTTGAAAGCGTGGGTGGGGGTGGGGGATATACACTAACATTCTATTTTCCTAAATTATATACACTAACATTCTATTTTCCTAAATTATATACACTAACATTCTATTTTCCTAAATTATATACACTAACATTCTATTTTCCTAAATTATGTGCACTAACATTCTATTTTCCTAAATTATATACACTAACATTCTATTTTCCTAAATTATGTGCACTAACATTCTATTTTCCTAAATTATATACACTAACATTCTATTTTCCTAAATTATATACACTAACATTCTATTTTCCTAAATTATATACACTAACATTCTATTTTCCTAAATTATATACACTAACATTCTATTTTCCTAAATTATATACACTAACATTCCATTTTTCTAAATTATATACACTAACATTCTATTTTCCTAAATTATATACACTAACATTCTATTTTCCTAAATTATATACACTAACATTCTATTTTCCTAAATTATGTACACTAACATTCTATTTTCCTAAATTATATACACTAACATTCTATTTTCCTAAATTATATACACTAACATTCTATTTTCCTAAATTATGTACACTCTCATTCAATTTTCCTAAATTATGTACTCTCTCATTCTATTTTCCTAAATTATATACACTAACATTCTATTTTCCTAAATTATATACACTAACATTCTATTTTCCTAAATTATATTCACTAACACTTTTGGGGAGGCAGTGGGTCTATTCTTGTTTTCCCCACAATGGGGCCCCGGAACCCACACGGGGGGTATTTACTATCGTTTTGTTTCAGTTAATTGTTAAAATATATAAATGACGTAAGGTAGTAATTTCAGAGTTAGCCGGCAACAAAACAACAGACTGCATACAGATAAGTCAGATCTGTAAAACGTATGTACAGGCAACTTTCACGCTCTGGAACAACAGTGAGCTCCAGAAATGGAGAAACATCCAGAACTTTCCGCACACGTTTAGAGCAGATGAAGGATAAGAGCAAGTGGAAGAAGTTTATTGTGACTGTTTCTGTAAAGCTGACATATACTTTATGTTGTTGTTTTTGTTCTTCTACCGTGTTCACCAGCTGTAAGCTCTGGCGGAAGGTCCTTGTTGTTCGTCCATTTTTACTTTAGCTTTGTGCCAGGGCCTGTATTTTGCGTGTACATCCGTTTTACTGGCTTATTTGCGTGCAGCTGGTTGTAGCTCCGGCGGATGTGCTCCGAATTCGAAGGAAGTCCCGAATTTGTCGACTCCTATGACATTCTTACTGTGGATTTTAGACTTTCATATCTTCGCTGCAGTCACCCCATTTCTACGTTCGCTCTCTGAGACATAAGCTAGCTCTCAATTTAGACTGGGTCGACCTGGGAGCAACCGTTGACCGAATGGTTAGCACACTGGCCCCTCAAGCGGTAGACTCGAGTTCGAATCCTCGGTATGGTTAGGGACTATTTTTTGTTTCTGTCGAGGGGAAAAATAAAATACTAACCTGCTCAGTAGGCGGAGACAGGAATAGCCATGCGGCCCTTAATCCTCAGGCTGAAAGATCCTCCTACTTTGACAGCAAGATGGTAAACACAGGCAGAAGTGACAGTCTTTGGCATTCATGAGACGAGAGACTGTAGAATTTTGTGGCTACATGTAAGATGGGGAAAGATGTCAATAAAATTCCCATTCCAGTCAGGGCTGCCAATGCTGGGTTTTTGCCCCCAGAGCTGGGTTTCTATTTGACGCCTTGGGGAAATCTGTGTGTTTTTTTTAAAAATATATCCTTATATAAAAGTGATAAATGTTTCGTTTCGTAACTATAAATTTTGTACATTTTAACAATCTA